GGATTGACAAAGGTGGATAAGTTATCCTATTTCATTTCGGTTTCTTAGGTTACACAGTCCAACTACATATTTCTAACTTTGGCATTCCAGCCTCCAACCAGAAACAGCACATCTTGCTTGAATGTTCTCTCAATTTCAAATTTAACTTGATTATAAAATTCATCAACCTCCTCTTCTTCTGCATTAGTGGTTGGAACATAAACCTGGATAATCTTCACATTAAAGGGTTGTCCATAAAGCCTAATTGATAGTATTTGGCCACTGATTGCAAAGTAGCCAAGTATTATTGTTGCTATATCTTTCCTGACTATGAAAGCCACACCGTTCCTTCTCTGGTTTTCATGCCTTGAATGGTAAACAGTATGATCTTCTGACTGCAAATATCTAATTCCAGTCTATTTTAATTTGCTAATGCCTAAAATGTCAATGTGTAGCCAAGTCATTTCACCTGTCACTATGTTGAGTTTTCCATGTTCATGCTTCTTAGATTCCACGTTCCTACTATGATTCTGTCTTTGCAGCCTTGGATTTTCTTTTACAGCATGGCAACATCAGCAATTACATGTCCCGAAGGCTTTAATCTAGCCACATCATAAACATATTACATATTCCAAAGGATCTTCAACTCTTCCTCAGTAGCATGTTGATCTGGCACTATATCATCAGGCAATGTATGTTTTCTATCCATGTGGTTTTCTTGTAAAAATACAGGAATGGTTTACCATTGCATTCACCCGTGCAGTATGAATTGATCCTTTTGCCATTGTTACCAAAGTGATCATCCACCTCCAGCATCTTCCTGTATCCCCGCTGCCCAGTATAGGTGCCTGCTTGCTTTAGTTGGCAGCTGGGATGTCCTTCATGCCTTGGGTGACCCTGCTGGCATACACCACAGCCTTTTTTGCTCACCCCTCCCAAGAACACACCCTCCTCCACCATGATGAGGCCATGCAGCAGAATTTGGGGGGCATTATATAATATCCAAGGCTAAATTTTATAGTACATAAACATCAGCTGAAGTACATTTCAAAAACAAAGACATTTTGTCAGAATTAACACATCACAAGTTCCACCAAACCAGGTCATACAATTGCCACAGAACTATATGTAATACATGCTCACATTTGCTAAATCCTACCCAAGATTCAGGAGGTGAACAATCATCAGTATTAAGAGCCATTGACTGCCAGATCCTCCACGAACTTGCCCTTGTAAAACCATCCCAATTGGCTGTCATTTCCATCACAGCAAATGCTACCATTTCATTAGGTACCATGTGAAGAAAATATTTATGCTGGTCTGGAATCTCTCTGCATTTAGCTTCGAGCAATGACCCCAAGTTCTAAAACTGTGAGACGGGGAGAAAATAGAGTATATGAAGCACCTTGAACACTCTAGTGCTTTAGGAATGCTAATCATTCTTATTTAGTCACCACCACAGCACAATTACATTTGCCTTCATTATCTGCTCAGCTACTTCACATTGACAAACAGTTGCTGTTGGGTGTGTCTGTGTCTGGGCTGAGGGTGGTTGGCTTTTTCCCTAGTCCTGCAGGATATTTATTCTTGCCTGGGCATTGCTCCACAGGCGCGCTCTCTCTTGGCCAGCAGGCAACTGGTTCTACAGGGGTGTGTCTCATGCGTTGGCGCTGCTGGGCAGACTGCCTCTGAGCTGGCTAGAGCTAGACAGGGAGCTGCTTTCTGCCAGACTAACAGGTTGGCTACGGCTAGAGGGTTTTCCTTTTTGGCATCTGAACAGTGTCTCTATGTCCTTTTTATTGGTGACTCAGTTGATCAATGCCATTGCACGAATGAATGGCCCATTAACATCAACCAATATCCATTACACATATTCTCAAGCTCACTTCCTGTAACCTGACTCAGTATACAGTATCTAGAACAGGCTGGATATTTAATCAGGACTCTAGTTCCAATTTTGCCTCTCTCAGGAACTTACTAAGTATTGCCCTTTGGCAAGGCATCCAAGTCTCCAAATCTGCAATAACAATATTGATTACTGATATTGATAAAAATATTGATTTAATGTACAGGGCTATTGTGTGGAACACAGCGATAACAGATGGGAAGCATTTGTTCATATTTTATAGTTTTAGGCAAATGTTGAGCCTCTTCCTCCAACTTAAAGTGTACAGTATAATCTTCTGTGCTGATCTTTTGGTGTTTATGTAACTTACTTGTCACTTTGATCTGCGATGACCCTCCTAAAAATCCCTATTCAGTTTGTCCATTCCCTGATCCACAGAGTCTTCTCATTTTTAGCTTTAAAACCACCAAAACCTTCTTCCTTCCATTCTAGTATACTTCTTTCTTTCTTTCTTTCTTTCTTTCTTTCTTTCTTTCTTTCTTTCTTTCTTTCTTTCTTTCTTTCTTTCTT